GACATGTTCGTATGAACCCTTTGTACGAACAAAAGTAAGAGAAATTTAGGATAAGAATACGAACATGTTCCTGCATGAGGCCCAATGTGTCCTTATAAAACTCTCACSATGCTGACTGAAATTCTGATCGTTGATGACGGAGCAAAACGATAAATCCTCTTTGGTCTGTTCTGACACATGACAGTAAATAAATTAAAAAACCAAGAATAATTTTAGATTTCACAATAGCTGAAAATAGCACCGCACAAAACAAGTAAGTAAGAAACATTAATAGGAGGAACTATTTTTGAGGGGGGGTGAACTACTTTGTTTCAGATTGGTGCCACCTCACCTGCCCTTRTGAACCAGATTCACTTAAATGGGACGCTGTTCCTCCTCCAGATTCTTGTATTTGGTCCAATATTTTAATGTGCAGTTAATAGTTTGGACTAGCCCGCACCTTATCTGACCTGGCTGTTAGACTTTTTTCTTCCTTTCTCCAAACTGGGGGAATTTAAAAAGGTTATCCAAAACAGGTAGGATGATACCTGTTTATGTTTCAGCAACACTCTAGTTTACAATGGCTGCATTGTCCTTTTTAAGATTATTCCTTATAAATAAGTAAGGATCATTCTAACATAAAAGTTTTTTTTTCATTCCTGCACTCCTGGAGAAGCAGAGAAATGAAAACAATTCACTTAGAGTACAAGTTTGGCATCAGAACAAGCTGGATGTTTTTTTTTCCTTATATCAAGTGATGTTGTTGATTAAACATGTTTTCTTTTATCAGTGCCATGTTCAGGACCTGTTTCTCTGTGTGTTAGGGGGTGTGTGCGCTGCCTTTTTATTACTGCCTACCTTGTTCTGAGTATCATCTGTCCTCATCTGACTGATGAAATTGGCTTGCAGCCCTTGCCCCGCCCTCTACCCCCCTCCCTGCAGTTCCTCTCGCAGCAGGACTAGAAGGGCGATCAGCAGCAGAGACGGAGGGGAGGAGAAGAGAAGGAGGGAGGGAAGAGGTGGGCAGAGTCAGGAGAGAGAAACAAAAAACGTGACTAGGCACCCGAAGCGTCCTGTTATGCAACAACTGACCTACTAACATACATTTAGCTGCTCGGGAGCGAGAAGGAGAGAGCGAAAGGAGGAAATAAGAGAGGAAAAAAAAAAACAAAGAGAGGGAGGGAGTCATCATGACGCGAGGAGCGCACCAAAACAAGACGCCGTGGTTGCACTCCGGCATCCACCGGCTCTAACACGAACAGGSACAGAGCTGCTGAGAGAGAAGGAGGAGKAGAAGAAGAAGGCTGCAGYGGACTGAAGACYGATGGGAGAAGGCTGGACGGAGACACATCTGCATGCACCTTCTGTGGATTTTAACCCTCCACGAAAACAAACAAAAACAAGGGGTAAGCGATTATTTACAACCGAACTCTTCATGGGCACCCGGGATATTTCCACGCGTCGTGCGCTTCGTGCGGACACGGAGGACGGCTTTGGTTTCTGTGTCAATGTCACGGAGAGGCATGTTTCTAGCCTGTGGAGCTGGATGTAGGGGGGGGGCAGAAAGTTAAAATGACGTGATTTCTTCCACACTTTAAACGTAAAGCTGTGCGTAATTCCCCAGATTGGTTATTATTATAGTTGTACAAACATTTATTATTGTGTCAACATTATTTATTTTGTTGTTGTGTTTTTTATTATTATTTCATTTATTCTTCTTTTTTTTTTCCCCTGAGCTTGCAGGCAACAGCTTTGTTTTGGGTTAGTAGACTAAGTGCAGACAACAACAATCCTACACTGGATGAGGGCACGCTTCTCCGCGTCACGTGGAGCAGCTCTTTGTAAAGGTTAACGCGGCTGCGTGCAGTTTAACCCTTTATGATCCGTCGCCCTTCTTCTGCCTTTTTAAATATTATTATTATTATTATTATTATTATTATTATTAGTAGTAGTAGTAGTAGTAGTAGTAGTAGTAGTAGTAGTAGTAGTAGTAGTGTTTACAGGGTTGGAGGGAGAGAGGTGGCACACGCAGACTAGACAGAAAGCAGGAACCAGGGTGAGGTTCCCGTGGATCCGGCAACATCTGGATCTGTTGCRTGTTTCTGTGGGTGAATTTCACGGCACAGTTGGAGTCGCCTCGGATGACTGAGAATCCGATGAAAAATGCCTGAACATGATTTGTCAAACGGTGCAACAAAAGGAGGCGCGGAGGTGGTGGTGGTGGTACACATATTGCTCTCAACAAGGTGTTGCTGGCTCCACAAGATTATTATTATTATTTTTGGCAGATCCCAGCCGATCATCATGTGGCCTGAAACTGACTGAGCAGCTTGACATCTGCCACGTGTGAGTCTTTGGTCAGTTCCAATCAGGGCAATCAATTTCAGGCTTGTTGCTATCATATATCACTCTACACGTGGGCATCGTTTAGCTGTATCCCTCTCCTCCAACTTTCCAGGAATTGCATAGCTTGCAGAGTTTAAATGCGTTCAGATTATAAAGGAAGCATTTAAGATTTTGTTCTGGAAATGTATTTTTAGCTGTACACTAAACAAGAAACAAGTTACAGCAAGCATAAAAAAATTAATTAATTAACAATCAAAGTTGGGTTTAAGAATGGAGCAGATTACGCAATCTGCGGAAACCAGGGTCTGCGGCTGTTTGTTGCGGACTGGCCACTGCCGATTTGTTCACTCAGGGTCTCTATGCCAGGACTGAATGTAGGTCACAGCAGACGTTTGGGAGGAAAAGAGGGGCGGGGAAGGGGGTGACTGGGCGGCGCAGCTGACTAGAAAGGCAGTATCAGAACCAAAATAAATCCTGGCCCCGCCATAACAAAAGAAGTCATGCAGAAATTTTGGGAAACTGGCTCTGCAATAAAGAAGACCATGTAATAAAATACAAATGTCCAGATGACTATCAAAACGAAAAAGTAAACTGAGATATGTAAGGTGAAAATGGTTGAACTGCTGTGGGAACTGGAGTTGTATGTCGTGTGTGTGGGGGGGTCATGGTCTAGAGCCACTGTTTTAGTCACAGAGTCACAGGTTTTCTTCCTGTCCTCCYTTTGCTGGCCTCTTGACTCTTTCCTGGGGTTTCCTGGCACATGGAAGGTGATGAAAGATGAGGACCTTGCTTTGTTTTCGTTCTGTGGTTTGGAGCCATGCAGAAAGGAGAATTACAGCAGTTAGTAGGTCGAAGGCGCATGTGACCCGTGCAACACATGCACTGAGTCGCTGCATTTTTTCCTCTCTTTTTTTTCCTGTTTCTGTAAGAGATGATATGCCCTGTGTTTGAGGCTTGGTCTCTGGGCCTCGCCTTGTTGTGTTGATGCACAGACCTTCCTTCTTTACATATTTTTCTTGGGATTTCAGGCTAACCTCACCCATGACCCCCACATTCCAAGTACCTTACTTTGCCCACTGTAAAGTAGGGTGTGGATTCCCAGAGTTTCATCGTTCCCTTTGTCGACGATTGAGGAGCACCCGCCCCTCTCTCTCTCCTTTCATGTCGGCCCTGCTCTCATTTCCTGAAACAGACCACTGAAACACGTGCAGGGGCTTTTGAACTCAGTCCACTCTTTCAAAAGCTCATTGCCCCATTTAGACTCTTGCGACGTGGGCTCTGTGGTTGGTCTGAGGGTGGGACATTCGGGATTCTTTTACCATGCTATCATTTCACAAGTGCCACAGGAACCAAACGATGACACGTGAAGTATATTTGAATAACAGAAAGACTAATCTAGGTCAAGGGAGCAGATTTGTTGCTCYAGTGGCTGTATTTGGATAATTGAACTGGAAAATTACCTTGAAAGTGCAACTTGGTGCCAGCTGCTTAGGCTTTATAYATCTTCAGATTGTAAAAATAAAATTACTGTGATTTGATGACAGAAAAAGTGGTACAACATTCCAAGAAACATCTTTAATATATTATTCATTAAATACTGAAGTCTGGACAAAAAGCAAATAGATATAAAATGAGCACAGAGGTTCTRGTGTTTGCCTCACTTTAAAGAAGTATAAACTCTGTGATGTCATTTACTTCTTCATTTGTTACAAAGCATTTTCTAAAGCTGACCATGTCAAGGCGCTGGTTTAGAAGAAGGGAGAGAAAGTCTGAAACGATTGGTCGTGACTGYCGTTTCCCCCTTTTTTGTTGCTATGGGTGACACATTCCTTGTACTGATGCAATACCAACACTGTTGCAATTGYCCCTGGTTTTTCTCCTCCCAAGCAACCGTTTAATCTCATCTCCATCTCTTCCTTTGTTTTAACTCTCGCTCACTGGTTCCCTCCATGTCTTTGTCTTGCTCACACCTCTGTCGACATTCAACACTCCACACGAGTCTTACGTTGTGCTTCCCTTATCTTGCTCCGATTTTTCTCTTTTCTCTCACACTTTTCACCACTCGGCTGACCTATATTCCAGCGAAGCGTACAGTGGAGGAAGCTAGACTTGTGTTTACTGAAGGCGGCTGATCCCCAGTTTCTGGGTCAGTGGGACACGCCAATAAAACCTCTCTCCCATCAGTTTTTCCCTCTCTTGTGCCGAAAATGCACGCAAGACTCTCACGAGGATGACCTGAAACAGTTAAGCCAAGTCAGAAAAATGATTCCAGATGGCAGTGCCACAACTTTTTAATAAATTCATTGCATTTGATTCTAAAAGAAACTAAACTTGAAATACATGCTTCTGTCCAATATTAATCTACTGTTTCCTAGAATCAGTGCTAAAATAAATATCGGTTGTAAAGAATTACATAACAGTGTTTAACCCAGAGGAGAAACAAAAAATAAATAATAGTAGTAACTGGTGCTGTAATTCCAAAGAAACATATAAATTCAGGAGTGATTTTGTGGAGTATTTGTTTTTTCAACTGGTTGTTAACATAAAGTACTTTGCTCTATATCTCTTCATTTTAGGTGCTTTTTTGGATCAAACGGTAAAACAGGGTCTCTGAGGATTAAAGTGCCCAGTATGCTTCGCTGAAACTGCCGAATCAAATTTTCACAAACTTTTCACTTCCCTCCGCATAAGAAATAATTGCGTGATTGGTCAGAAGTTAGAGAGAGTGTTTATTTAAAATGAAAGYGCTCAGACACCTCCTTTTGGTTCAACTACTTACTTCCAGAATCCAACAGTTGTAACCAGAAGCTGACATTTATAAAGATAGTCAAATGGCCAAAAACTCAAGGATGGGGTTAAAATAGACATGCATCAAAGAATCTATCTGCCAAAAAACTATGGAGCTTTGGCCGGGACATATTTGTGGAAAACTAACATTGGGCATCAGTGTTTGAAAAAAATTGAAGTGTAGAGTCCAGCTGGAAGTWACCCCATGYAGTGACGTATCCCACAGTGGGAGCTTGGTGCAGTTTGTCTCAGGAGTTGTGAAAAGTGTGTACGAAAACGAAYGTTGAATAACCACTTAACCACATATCGTCCTGTYGGCTGTGATCAACCRTTCTGAGCACTTAARTCTGATTAATGTCTACTATTCTTGAACTCTTCAATGGCTTCACACATCAAAACTGAYATCACAGCACAGGTTGGTCATTTCACTCATGCATTGCGTCGATCACCAGTATAATCATGGTTTTAATCCCATCATGGTGTGGTTATACGGAGCTAAGCTTATGCTTTTTTATTACCAGGGAAACACTGTGATAAGTSTACTTTATGTTTCACACATTCAAAAACCAACTCATAGCAGACAACACTATAAACTGCATGGACAAGACAAAGTCATCATTACTCRGTAATTATTGGCTGGGGATATTAATTGTCTATACAAACTGTTGAGCCAGTTTATTAAGTCAGATTGAAGAAATTTTGGATCTGTCTGGTTGTAGCCTCTGGGTTTCATACATGTAAAAGAATGGACGTTATATCGAGAAAAAAGCATTGGACCAATATGGAATTCTGAATCAATGGAGGGCATGAAAATCTAAAAAAAAAATGTTTAGAAAAATGGCTTGTGCGTTTTAACATTTTGCTTTTAAGACACATCTTGTTAGCTTATTRCAAAGAGGTGATTTCAGTTTTTATGTTCCAAACCCTTGCCATTACTTTTTTTCTGAGCACTCTATGGTGTCACTGAGCATTTTCTATTACTCCAACCTCCTCTTTTTTCAGGGGTTTTTGACCTATATTTATCAACGCCCCACCTTCCAGCTTAACCCCCCTCTCCTGAGCCAATCTACACACACCTCCAAATCTCTCACTAGTGTCTTGTTTTCTTTATCCTTGACCTGCATTAGCAGATGCCTTTGTCTGCCTTATCTGCTCGCTCAGTAACATTGATTTGGCATTGAGTTGTTTTGGCGAAGAATGCTGCCACATTCCTTTGCGGATGAGCACATGGGTTGGGGGTGGGGTGTCAGCAGTACTTGTGAAAGGGGGTTTCTCAGTGGAAAGGCAGTCTCTTGACATTTTTTATCATTAAATTATTTAAAAGGAATCCAAAGAACACCATCAGATCTTTAAACTGACTCACACTTTGCTTTGCATGGTCCAAATTCTCATGAGATAAAACAAAGCTCTACTCCTTACACAATCTAGTTTTCGTGCTCTCAGTGTGTCTCAGACTGATGTAATATGCTATTGTGTAATTTATTTCATAAATGTGCTCGGCTGCTGTGTGTGCAAGTTATAATTACCCTCATTTGGTTTTGTTTAGCGCTGCCATTAAAATGTGAGCTTGTGTCTTTGAATATCTCTCACACTCGTTTTTGTAAGATCTGGGGTGACAAGTTGAAACAGGGCTGGCTGCCTTGCAATGAACTTAGTGCTCCAATTGCATCACAAAACGCAACATCAACATGTCAGGAAAAAGGGTCAGGGGTCACAGGCTGCAGACAGATTCACTCAGTAGGAGGGTCAAAAGATCAGACTCTAAGGTCTAGCAGCTATTCACTGGTTTACAGGGGTGGCACAGCCAGACATGCTAAAACAGCAACAACAACAACAACAAAAAAAAGATTCTGCACAGACTTAGAAATGTATCCTTGATCAAGTGTGTATAGTAGCACCAGTGGTCGTGGATTAACGTATTGTCGTTCTTTCTTTCTTTTTTATCCTTACAGCCTTTCATCTTGCAGTCAACTGCAGAGAGAACAGCCAGAAGGAGGGAGAGAGCCAGGCTCCCCAAGAGACTGACATGCTGAGCTAGACGGGCCGACCTACATCCTGCAGTTTGTGTGGAGATCGAGGACACCTCTACTGCAACCTTGCATGTTCTGCTATTCTCAAGCAAAACCTTAAATAAACAAGCATTCAAAACAAAGAAAACTGGAGGACTGAACTGGCCCACTTAGGGTTTGTTGAACACTGAAAAGTCAACCCTGAAAATAGATAAATGAGGGCTGGTAGTTCTAAATTTTGGCTGWTCTTCATCAAACTTGGGAAGTGAAGTACTGTCAGTTCAACCCTTTCTTTTCAAACTGGCTACGAATCAACAAAAATGGAAAATCTGACTTCAACTCTCAAAAACTYAGGGAATAGCCTTAACAGCCCAGAGCCCTACAGTAATTATGAAGAGTCTATTCCTTCTCTTCAGGGATCGCCAGCTCGTGGTCGACTCATCAAAACCAAGCCCAACGTCACCTGCAGGCGAAAGCGTCAGTTCATTTCCGATGAGAAAAAAGACGCCTCCTACTGGGAGAARCGGCGAAAGAACAATGAGGCCGCCAAGCGCTCCAGAGAAAAGCGACGTCTGAACGACATGGTTTTAGAAAACCGTGTCATTGCACTGAAYGATGAGAATGTGAGACTCAAGACAGAGCTGCTCCAGCTGAAGCTGCGCTTTGGCCTTATAAGCACAGCCTCCTACATTGAAAAAAGCCAACAAATTAGTGTGGGCAACAGCGCAGGAAATGGAGTCTCCTCTTCATCCTGCTCTTCTACTCAGTACTACTCCAGTGGTTATTCCAGTGGCTCTCAGGTGATGATGAACTCTGATTCCTCTGAAACAGAGCAGTCGGGTGAGGTTCACAGGCAGTTGGTGAAATATTCTCCACGTGGCTCCTTGTCTGACATGTCCGATGGTTCCTCAAGGGACAGCCCAGAACCACTGCCCTTTGAGATTAAACAGGAGGGCGACAGATTGGAAATGGATATCACCAGTGGCACCACAACCCAGATTATGTTCAACATTCACCGTGGTCTAGCCTCTGTACCCACAAACCACCAGATCCAGCAGCATCAAGAGGTGGATGCTGCACATCAGAGCCAACAGCAACACCAACCGCACCTTCTTCAGCAGCAATCACAGCCGCATCAGGAGCCTGTCCCCCCTATCAAAACTGTAAGTCCCTCAGCGTCTCACCCACCTGCTGCCCAAAGGAGTGTCATTTTGTACGGAGCCAGCAGGATACCCCAGGATGCAGATCTGCAGACAGCACTAAAGCACGGCAGCAACAGCAGCCAGACTGGGATCAGCCAACTACAACAGTCCATTACAGAGAGGTCCATTGAGACTCTGGCTGAGGTGACAAAACATCTACAGAGGAAGTCATTGGACTCCCATCCATTTGAGTTGCTAGACAGCAGTAATGAGGTCAAAGAAAGACAGGTGTTCAGATTTTGCCAACTTACACAGCTGGAGCAGGAGCAGCAGCACCCACAGGACAAGAGTGAATCATCTGTCAAACCGGTGAGTGAACAAATGGATGGGGTCTGCCATTCTCAGCTGTATCACCATCTCCAGCAGCCTCATCTTTCATACCGCAACACACAAGAAGAGGAGCCACCAGTGCTTAGCTATGAAGGTAGACCCAGAAATGAGGGTTACTACCGAAGGCAATTACTCTCTTCAAGCAAGGACACCACATCAAGTGAAGGCGATCCCTCTAGCCCTGACAAAGAGGTATCCACAGATGATGAGGAGTCCCCMTCTTTGCCTTGCTCAGACATGGGCAGCTATCACAGCCAACATTTTTCCACTATCCTCCAGACTGATTCACCTGTGCCTCATTATCAAGGCGGTTCACTGGCACAAGGCTGGGATCCCCAGGGAGAGGTGAAGGGGACTGCACTGCCACACAAACTCAGACTCAAACACCGGGCCATGAGCACCGGGAGCAGTGGCAGCAACAGTAGCAACTACTCAGGCCAGGACTCCCCAACCAGCCCCGCGCCTACTACGCCACCTCCTCTCCCCCAGCATCCTTACTTGTCCCTTTCTCCACTGCAGACCAGTAAACGGGAGTTCCCAGTTGGACCTTGCAAACAGGTGGCACCAGAGGAGGTGGTGAGCAAAGAGAGTGAGAAAAAGGAGAATGGAGGACGACAAAACAAGAGAAGAGATTAAGTGACTTTTAGTTTCAAACTTGAGACACAGTTTCTCCTCTAAGAACTACCCTGCCGTCATGCCTTTGCCCTATAATTGGATCCCATCTTTAAGTTCTTGGGACAGTAGTCTGGGCTTTTCTATAGCCCCAAACTACTGAGTCAAAGAAAGACTGGACATACTGTAGGGCTGTATGTGATATTTGTATATATTGTACAGATTTGTCATTTCTTACATCCTCTCCATACTTACAGAAGCACTTTTGTTTATGTGATGAGAGGAGGAATGGAACTCTGTTTTTTCTACTTTTTTCTCATTCAGCACCACCCAGCAGAGTACAATACTAAAAGCACATTTTGATAGCTCGGAAAAAGAATGTACAACTAAAGGCTACTATAAAATTTAATACATATCCAACATGTAGGTCTGCCTTAACTACAATCAAATGCAAACATTCACTGAGGTTATCCTCTCAACCAAAGAACACCACCAACATCGCAAATATTAAGTTCCATCCCTCTTCCCAAACCCTACCTCTACCATCCCATCCTGTTCATTATCTCCCAAAAACAAATCACCATCTCATTTATTTTTAAGCACTTCTTTTTGTAAATAAATGTGACATAAATGAATATATGTATCTATTTTAAGCCTATATTTTAGAGAAAAATATTGAAAACAAATTCAAGAAAAAAAAAGTTGTCAAACCTTCAATGGTATAAAGAGGACTCTGAAAGTGACCACCCTATGACAAATCACAGTTACTCTACAGTCACATTGTCCACTGTTACTGTCAGGACCCAATACAAGGAATAGATTGGCCATTTTAATGTTGGTCTCTTTCTAAACATTAAAAAACAATTATTTGACCAATTATAGAGTTTTTTTGTTTGTTTGTTTGGAGAAATTGTTTACATGGGACAAATAACTAATCTGAATATGGATAAGACTAAAACAAGCAATTTTATAAATCATTACAACAGCATCAAATTTGTGTTACACAGTTCAGCTTTTTTTACAGCAGCAGCATGAGAGATATCAAGGGGTCACATGACATCCAGCAGGAGTCTTTTATTTTTTAATTGTATTTTTGCYAAAGTAATTGTGTAATGCAAAATTGATGAGAATAGCAAATCCATAAAATGTCAAATTAAATTGTATTGATCTCAAATTGGCTGGTTCGAATGAATCCATTTCCAACACAGATTTTCCATTTTTAAAGCAATTCAATTTTTTAAGCTTTACATCATTTCATGCATACACTCACTTCAAAGTGGCTAAACTATTCCTTTAAAATAAACTTCAAATGATAGCTGAGCTTAGGCATTAATGTCCTGTTTACTCAAAAATGGCCGTCCATTTTTCAGCTGTAGCAGCACCAAACAGAGAACCATGTTCTTCTTGAGACTATGGCCTCATTAAAATAATTGGATTTATAAACCTTAAAGCCTTTTGTTTCTTTGAGCTTTATGAATTGTATCTTCTTGTTGTTATCTTTCACTGGCCCAATGTATTTATCTCCCTCCCATCAACATGCCTGTCTGTTTAAAAAAGCCCACATGAACATAGACAAAGAATGTGTATAGACCCTTTTAGATACATATCACAGCCTAGGAGTTGGGAGGTTTTATCCTGGGGAGGGATGCTTGAGAGCATGAGGAGGAATTTAGTCACATTTATTTAAACACACTACAGTGCACTGAGTTCACAAGGAGACCCTCCTGTAAAGAGYCCTGCATAGCTACTGTTTAATTTTAGTGTCATGAAATATGGTTTTGTAGTGTGACCAAAATATGACCAAGAAGGCCCATGACGAACTAGATTACTGAGTTGCGGTTCAGTAAAAGTTGATGCAAACACACAACTTAGCAAACTCCAACTAAAGTCAGTTCATGTTCCAATATTAACAATAAACATCAAATGAGGGCCTTCCCTTATTTCCCCTAAATGCCTTCATTAGGTGTTGTTTTGCAGGGGTCGTTCATCCCCTTCTTATAGTAGTTCTACTACTGAGTTGTGATGAATTGCCTTCACTGGATTCTACATGTCTGTGTACCATGTTTGGCTTTTTGGTGCTTGTGTATAAATGTAAAGTTTCACAAACACTGTAATGTTTGTTTCATTGGTTTTATATCCCGTTTTAGTCGAGGTGATGTTCTGTTTYCCTCTATGCTGTGTCTTTTACTCCTACTGACTGTGATGACATGTATTTGATCCACCCCCCCCCCCCTCACTTTTTTCAGTGTGTAATAATCAGTAAAGTTTGTGGTTTTGCCAGTGGTTTTAAAGATGAAGACTGGAGAGAGAAATAAATGGTGTGGTGTTTGGAAATGGGTGGTGGTTGGTCTGGCTGGTTGATACCATGTAAAGACACTAATGTTTCATTGTGCAAAGATGGGAGCATTTCAACAAAAATAATAAAAAAAAGAATAATGTTGACTCATTTGTTCAGAGTTTTGTTTGATTGGTGCATGTGTGCTTTATTGCAGTTTTATTTAGATTTCAAATGAAACCTTTTTCAGTGTTCCTCCTGTAACTGAAGATTTCACAAAAAGGCTAAATTCTAAAGGCACATCCTGTTTTCACTGAAAGTCTTGTGTTTCATACCATCCCTGATGAATACCTTGCTCTTTTGGCAAAGGGGCTAATGGACAATGAGAGAAGCAAAGCTGTGACATAGTGACACACTTTACTCAAATAGACCAGAAAATTCCCATGGCAAGTTAGTCTGATGTAACACTGGCCTACTTCTACAAGCTCACTGCATGAAAATACTCACATCAGGGGGACCGAAAGTATGTCCAAACTTCTGGGTGCAGCATCGGCTTTTCACAATCAAGTTAAAGACCTTTCAGATCTGACAACACGTTTAAAATAAAAGTGTTGCAAAAAGACTGTTAAAGAAAGAAATATGTTGGTAAATTGTATTTTAAGATATTTATTCTTAGAAAGATAAGAAAAAGCTAGAATAGATGTTTACTACAAGATAAATGGACTAAGCTAAAAAAAAATCATTTGAGTTCACCTACTTTATCTTTGTTTTAAAACAACAATACACATTTTAAATGAATGAATTAAAATGTTCTTTAAGAAAAAAACCAAAACAAAGTGATAAAAATAAAAATAATACTGAAAAACACTAAAAGGTAATGGGTAAACAAAACGGATATATAATTTACAAAAATTAAAAATAACACAAAACACACACACATAGTGTATCCATGCACTAAATGCACACATTTAATTAAAAGGTGTTTTTATTTTTGTGCTTCCTTTTTGGTTTTAGTGTTTACACATTTTTCAGTTCCTTATTCATCACTTAAAATGTCTGTGTTTCAAACATATATTTCCTTATTTTTCCTATTATTTCACACACAACAGGTGTTTACCCATTTTAATAGCTGGAAGGAACAACAAAACACTGAACTGCACAAGTGTGATGGGTGAGAGTCAAATTTTTGTGCAGTAAAAAAGTAAAAATAATATTCAATATTTTGTAGAATGTGTGTTATTTATCTGCAGTTTTCAGTGCTGTAATTCATTTAAAAAGACAACGCAAAATTTTTGTTACACACTGTCCCAGAAAAAGGTTTGTTTTTCACTAAACACACAGAGTCAATCTTAAATATTTCTTTTTTATCTGATGTTTCCCACTGAACCAGAATTAGGTCATTTTCATAACAACATAAAGGGCAAAGGGAGGAGCAGTAAAGAGGGGAGGGAGGGGTGGGGGAGATGAGGGTGGAGGTTAACCCAGTGCACTAACTTCATGTCAGCCGGCAAACAAAGCACCTCTTTGAGGTGGACACATCAGTGTCCTTCACAGTGCTCTCAGTCACACACAAGCAAGAACACGTGCGAACACACACACACATGTATATGAATGCAAGAAAAATAAAGCAAACTGTCTTTACTTTGAGATTTCGTATATATATATAT